TTCATGAGCAACGTGAATTTTCAAAATTAAAAAGCATATATTTCGAGATAATGAACTTTCCTAGAACTAATTGTTATATATTCAGTTATTCTAGATACCTTGAAAGAATTATACGTCAAGGCTTTTTTTCGTCAAAATTATCTTAAAGAATCTAGCGTGTACAACATGACTCGTAGAAGGATATTTCTTTTCATTTCATAAATTTTAGTTTAAAAAAGTCCAAATGACAGCAACATGTTCGAAAACTAATAATTAATACATTTCTGTAGACCACTCTTGAAACTAAACAATCACTATCGAAAGTTTTTCTGAGCATGCATAAATTTTTCAAAAATTTGGATTTACTTTTCGTTCGCGCAACATAGAGGACTTCTTCAGAATCAATAGATAATGATAAGAGAAAAAACGTTTGTTTTGAAACTCGATAGGATGTATAGAAAACCAATTTTGAAGAGGAAAATAATTATTAATTATAATTACACATCAATTGAAAGAGGTAATATTTTTACGTATGCCTATAGTAAAAAAGAACTTCTACAGAATAACTTCTATTTTTTTTTCGTTTTTTTTACTTTCAATTAGAACGATTATGTTTTATTACAGATAATATAATAATGGTAAAAATAATGAAAGAAATTCTTATTGATGCACAAAATGAAGTTGAAAATATCTTCATAGTTTAATATTAGCATTCAGTTATTTAAGATATATGAAATACAAGGAGAATTATCTTCAGTAGAAATGATTTACAACATTATCGTGTAGTCGGAAAAGATACGAGGTAAACATAAGAAATTTATAAAAATAGTTTCTAGATTTCTTATTCTTTTTTTTTCAATTTAGACAAAATCTTCATGAATATAGATAGTAAGAAAGAAAACTGTAATAGGTACTGATCACCGATACCTTCTACTGATCGAAATAATGAATTTAATCGTATTTAATATACGGCTAAATTTTGTAAGAATGGAATGTATAAAACAGTACGTTATCAACAAACTATATTAATAATTATATTGGAATATTTATATATTTGAAAAAATCCTGCATTATGTTATTTGTTTTCAAATTGTATTTATAACAAAGCAATATATGAGACTCGATATTGGAATTGAAAATGAATAATTCTATGAAACAGCATCATATTTTTATCTAAAAAAAATTAGATTATAATAATATGATGTTAAAAAAAAACTTTTTAAAAAATTTTTCAATTCAAGTGTAAGTGTTTCATGTTTATACTACATATCAAATACTGTTTTATTTTTGCTATCGTTAAACAAAAATGTAAATTCTTATGATTGGTAGCTTGAGTGAATTTTGCATGGAACATTGAACGAATACTTTCAAAACTTTGTTCAATTACAGAACAAATAGATAAGGCTGAGATATTCTATAGACTGGTATGTAAACTGAATGTTAAAAATCAAAGCTCATTTTAATAAAGAAGGGTGTGGATGGTTGTACGTGTGAATGAAAATAAGAACTACATCCACACCCTCATATTGGGCACAAAATTAAACTCTGAAAAAAATGATGTATGCATTCGCTTGAACATCTGAAACAGTTAGGTTACTTTGAATCAGTCGACAACAATAACTCAGTTTTGTCCGAATTCACAGAAAAAGATGCAGAATTTTATATAGAATATTGTAGCATATTTTAAATTTCAGCAGATCCGTTTCTAAAAACTCTCTTTAATTTTTTCGCTTTTTCCACGTTCGCACTCAACTTTGCTGTGACGCGAAAAATATATTCGAAAAACAAAGTCGACATTTTTGTAGGGAATTAAGTTCTCTCTTAACTGACATAAAAGTCAAAGTTTTCAAATAAATTGTTAAATGCTTCAAAGATAGGAAATAAAAATGAGTCATTTCTAATGCAGTATCTGTTATCTTCCATTTTGAGAGAAAAATTTCATAATTTTCCACAAGAATCTTGAATTGAATTTTCTACCGAGGGAGGTTTGTTATTTTAGCGGCAGATTCTACACGTCTGGTAAGAAGAAATCGAATTCTTTTGACAAACAGTGATATAATAATAGTAAAACTGCATTTGAAGGATACAACATATCTAATAATCATCTTTGTTTTCTTTTAGCCTTTTCAATAATGAAATATATGAATAAAATTTAGTTTAAATTAAAAACAACTTTATGAATTATTTAGTTTTTTTTTTATTGAGCTTACATAATTAGTCAAATTTGTACACAAAACTTTCTATATAGAGAATAAAACAAACGACTAATCGATCAAATTATTTATAACTTACAATCAAACTATATTTTCGGCATATGTAATAATAATGGGAATGAATAGATAATTGAGAAAAAAAAGACGTTTTCCTTTCACAGGTGTTGAGTCGATTTTTCAAGTCAATGTTGTTGTCGATTAGTAGATAATGATGATTTAAAACTTGTTAGCGTTGGACATATGTAGTTCAGATGAAGAAGATTGACTAGTTGTTAGTTGACAAGAACAATATGGTATTGATACTCTTTATGTTTCAAATATAAATAAATAATGAATGGATGTGGATGAAATCAATTTTGATTGAGGATCATGATGATAATTAAGTTTATATAATTTTTGTATTTTACTATTGCTATTGATAGCGTAGCAAAGGTATAGAGCTGAAGAGATATACATGATTTTGATTTCAAATAGTTATAAAAATTTCGTGCAGAAAAAGGTTCTTTACAAATCAATTACTTTCTTCGATGTGTCATGTGAACAGTACAAGCACATCTATCCGCGTATTCTTGGACTCTTCGTTCTCGGGATCACCGCAATAAAAAATGACAACGTTCAATGCTGACGTCTAGTAGGTAAAAAACACAAAGAAACCTTGCAAAAGACTGCATAAAAGCGATATGAAGCGGTCTTAATTTTTGGCAATGGAATTTCAATTACGATAAAATAATGATAAACAATTTCACCAATAGTCGATTCTGTCCTATCGAAGGTGTCCATTATTTCCCCTACTAACAACAATTGATTTGAGATTATTTCACCAATTTTAATTATCTCGAGTAAAAGTTGGAGGCC